ATAATGCTTATCAAGTGTAATTTTGAGCATACTTTGAAAAAATATTGAGCGATGCTAGTGGCATAATATGCTACTTTTACAAGAACAATCTACAAAGGCCTACCCATAATGCCCCGTAGACTACTACCGTAGTATTGCTATTGAGACTTTTTTATCAGGAAAAGTTCCTTTACTTGTTTAGTAAAGATTAAGAACTTGAATTATGTTCTTATATCTGAGTCTTTGGAAATGGCTATTTAATTCCTGTGAATATCGTTTTAAGCTCGCTTAAACAGACTTACAATGACAACGATACTTATTGACTATGTCCTTCACCGCTTGTCTCATTTCTGTCATCTTCCAGCAGTAGAGGAACGGGTTCAAACTTGAATTTAAGAGCGCAAGAGACCCTGTATATCTTATAACAATAACATGAGATACGGCACTATATGGGAAAAGAGCTTCGAAAGATAACAACGCAAATGGAAGAAAACATAAAACTAACGTTATTTGGATCCACATTGCTGCTGAAACAGTTTTTTGGTATTTTTCTATGTTCCATGTTGGAATTCCTTCCCTGTTTCGTTGTCCGACGTCAATATCATTATTTTCTGTTCGGGTCTGATGGATTCGAAGGCGACGATAGATCCTCGTGTAGCAGTAGACTGAGATGATCAAGCATAGCAAGATTATTGCTGATGTTAAGTCTGAAAAAAAGCGAAGGCCCGTAAGTTGCATCATCAGACGGACGCTTGCACAAAGAAGCCAAAAAAGGCCCAAGATTCCACCAACTCGTCTCAGCTTAACAACCTGTCTGTATCGCACGCTGAGGGATATAGCAAGAAGTCTGTCCACACTTATTGCAGTCAATGTCATCAACGAAACTCCACTGAAAACCATGCCTGAAATGCCTACCACTGTTCCAATGTAGTTGCAAATTTTTCGCAGTTCGCTTACTTCAACAATCAATTCAGCGGCAAACATTGGCTGAGTGATAAGGCCAACGCAGAGATCAGTGATGGCAAGACAACGAAACATTAGCTTTGATGGCGGATGAAGAGAGGACCTCTTTTGAAGGGCAATGAGAATCACGACATTTCCCAGAGATGCTGTGATGGAAAGAATGAAGTTTAATGTCGCGAGAAATATGCTATGATGTGATCCAAGCACATTTTCGCAATAAAGGGCCCCAGTTTCTATTTTGGGTCCATTTTCAGTGACGTTGGACATTTCCTCCTGCAAATGAAATTTGTTCATTTGTTAATCAAAATTACGTAACGTTCTGATGTAGGTTTCGCCCACTTTTCCTTCCATATTCACCATTTTCGTGGTAAAGTTGCAAAGTAAATTCTTGTTCCTTTTGACATCTATGTGTGGCATTTCGAATTTTCAGCCACTTGTCTTCCAACACTTCATTTGTATAGTGTTTATCTTTGTAATGGGCTAATTCTCGACACGGCAGATGTTCAATATCCGCTTCGGCTACATTGACAGTCGGCTAATTTTTAATTTTTGTTCTCTCTAAAACTTTTAAACACATATTTTCTGTTTTAAAAAATATCCCAAACGTTGCACCGATGACAATTACATTTTCGGCTACTAAGAAGACGGGGCTGTAGATGTGTTCAGATCCGGTAAAAGATTCGTGCTTAAATGTAAAATAGACTGTTGCTTGAGAAGAAATGAAATTTAATAGTTCGTTCCTGCGACCGATTACACCTTCTCAGCAAAGAAAATAATTAAATATTAACAATGTAGCAATCGCTGAAGCATGAAATGGATGGCAGTACCAACGAGCAATAGCCTCAGAAACCCTCACCTTTCTTTCCCTTATTTTCTGTCAAAATTAGCAGCATTGAGTTGACAGTGTTATATTAGTCCTTCGAGAGAGATGTATGAAGACATATAAAACGTCACATTCAAAGTTCATACTTTATGTTTCAGTTCGCATTTCAAAATAATTTTCTTCCACATTACATTGCATATCTTTTAAAAGTAATCAATTCTGAGGCAGACTACCTCACTCGTTTAT